GTTAGGAGCAGAAAGTCTGTTCAAAAGAAAATCTTTTAGTTTGGTTTTTGTTTGTTTTGGTTTTTTGTTGTTTCTTTTTAAACCAACTGAACATGGTAACATAGCCTTGTAATCCCAGAGACCCCAGAGAAGACAGGGTCAGGCAAATTGCTGTATTTCTGTGTGTTCATAGACACTTTTACATGAAGCCAGGCAGTGGTGCCACATGCCTGTAATCCCAGCACTCAGGGGGCAGAGGCAGGCAGGCCTCTGTGAGTTTGAGGCCAGCCTAGTCTACAGAGCAAGTTCCAGGACAGCCAAGCTACAAAGAGAACCCCTGTCTCAAAACAAAACAAAAAAATGCAGCTTACATGGACAGACCTTATGGAAATTTTTAATAAAACATACAACACAGTCTGTAAGTAGTTATATATAAACAGAGAAACCTAAGATGGTTCAGTAAATCACAAAATTTTAAAATCGCATTGTCACAAATTGTGTTGCTTGCTTTTTTTTAGAAATCTTATAAAGGCACAAGATTCTGTCGTCCGCACAGAGAATGAAATAAAAGACACCGAGAAAGAAACAAATGACTTAAAAGCAGAACTAAAAGCTATTGAAGACAAAGCAGAAGAAGTCATAAAAAAAACAAATGCTGCTGAGGTAAGATCTAGTACTGCCTTACAGGATAGAAGTCATTTGAAGCAATTAAAGTGTTGTGTAAGTTAAATTTTTTGTGACTATTAACTTAAAAGTATATAACAAACTATGAGAACTTTCTGTGAATCAAATTTTATTAAATGAGACAAGAGAAATTGCTAACAATGTCTATGTAATGTAAAAAAAATATACCTATTTCACTTGTAGAGATGGTATTTGTCACAGTTATTCTTGGTTTTTAGGAGTCATTGCCAGAAATCCAGAAAGAGCATCGTGATCTACTTCAGGAACTTAAAGTTATTCAAGAAAATGAACATGCTCTTCAGAAAGACGCTCTTGGTATTAAGTTGAAACTTGAGCAGATAGATGGCCACATTGCTGAACATAATTCTAAAATAAAATACTGGCAAAAAGAGGTGAGATTACTCCCATTTAATTAATTTTAAAGCTTTTCTGTTGGCTGGACGGATAGCTCAGTTAAGAGCACTCACTCTTGTAGAAGACCAAGGTTCAATTCCAAGCACTTACACGCATGTAGATAAAACACTAGTACCATTTTTTTTAATTGCTTTTTGTTTTGTAGGGGCAGGTGTTTCTCTGGTTTTAAGTGTATGCTGTGATTCTTAATTCCATAATCACTTTTTTATATAAGGGATCTAATAGACAATTTGGAATTATTTAATACATAGAAATTAGTTCTCATTAGAAGAGAGCAAGTTCCTTCTCAGCCCAGAGCTTATGTACAAAGTAGTCATGGTTCATCCCGATATTGTTTTTATAGCTGTCATTGTTGATGTTTTGACTTAATAAACTGGGAGCTGTAAAGAGAGCCCACTGGTTACTACTCTGCAGCTTTTGTAGAGGACTCACAGCTTGCTTCCTCAAACCAATATCAAATCGCTTAAAACCAACTCCACAGGATCTGATACCCTCTTCTGGGATCTATGGCATCTACAAACGTGGCATACACACATACATGCACACACACCCATACACAGTAAAAGTAAATCCATCCTGTTTTTATGTCTTCTTAATTCTCTTCAGATTTCAAAAATCAAATTGCATCCTATAGAAGATAATCCTGTTGAAACAGTATCAGTTCTAACCCCAGAAGATCTTGAAGCAATCAAGAATCCAGATTCTATAACAAACCAAATTGCAATTTTGGAAGCTCAGTGTCATGAAATGAAACCAAATCTTGGTGCCATTGCAGAATATAAAAAAAAGGTATGAGTGAATTGGATTTTACTTAGTTTAAATTAAGACCTTTGGTTTTTGTTGCATAATGAGCAATGCTGATTCTCAGATTTGTGTAAACTTTTTTATAATCTTCACAGGAAGAATTATATTTGCAAAGAGTAGCAGAATTGGACAAAATTACTTCTGAAAGAGATAATTTTAGACAGGCATATGAAGATCTTCGGAAACAAAGACTCAATGAATTTATGGCAGGTTTTTATGTAATAACAAATAAGTTAAAGGAAAACTACCAGATGCTTACTTTGGGAGGGGACGCTGAACTCGAGCTTGTGGATAGTTTGGATCCTTTTTCTGAAGGAATCATGTTCAGGTTTGTAAGACTTGAATCCTCTATGTTACCTGAATTAATGTTTCTTGTGAGGGAAGTGTGAAGGTTGGAACTATAACTTCCTTCCTGATTATAAATACTAACTTGTTTATGTACCTTACGAGTTTACATCATAAAATATGTGCAAATTATGTTATACAATGACTAGTTCATTAATTCATCTTTTAAAAAATTTTTCTTCAATGCTAGATGCAATAATGCCAACATCTATAAATCCTGGCTTATCACTACAGGGAGATGGGAGCAAAAACAGACTCACAGGCCAGGTAGCCGAGTTTATACAGCAGTGAAATGACTGTCAGACAAAATAGAAAGGCTTTCTTTAACATCCCCCGCAATAGTTATTACAAAATTGGTTAAGAGAAAATAACAAATAGTAGCTAGCTTACTGTTTTAATCTTAAAATTCTGGTAGATAACTGGGTGGTTGGTGGCACATGGCTTTAATATCACCACTGGAAAGGGAGAGGCAGGCAGATCTTTGTGAGTCAGGCAGGGCCAGTGTGATCTACAGACTAAGTTCTAGGACAGCCGGGGTTATACAGAGAAACCCTGTGTCCAAAAACTTTAAAAATTCTGGTAGGTGTTTCTAACATATTTGTCTTCCAATAACATTTCTGTAAACTAGGAATAAAAGACCAGCAAGCCAGGCCATGGGGTGTGTATACACGTAATCCCAGCACTCACTTGGTTTAGGCAGGAGGATGAGAAGTTTTAAGGAAAATAAAAGGTCATTACATACTGAGGTCACCCTGTTCAAAAAACCAAAATCTAAATAATATTTGTGAAATGCAGCATACAGATTTAGCAAGGAAAAATAGTTGGTGTTAATTATAGGAAGCACTTCAGGAGTTTTAGCCTGAGTTTTATAAGGCAGTTCAGTAACATTTCTTCATTGTTTTAGTGTTCGACCACCTAAGAAAAGTTGGAAGAAGATTTTTAACCTTTCAGGAGGAGAAAAAACCCTTAGTTCGTTGGCCTTAGTGTTTGCTCTTCACCACTACAAACCCACTCCCCTCTACTTCATGGATGAGATTGATGCAGCCCTGGATTTTAAGAATGTGTCGATTGTTGCATTTTACATATATGTGAGTAAATCTTTGGAAATTCTGTTTTATTTCTTGCTATCAGGATTTTCATTTTACCCAAATTCTTAATAATATCATTATTAACATTATCCCATGTTAATCATGTCACAATTACTGCCCACAAACTCTATGAAATAATATTTGCCTATTTTATAATTTGTCTTTTTTTTTTCTAGGAGCAAACCAAAAATGCCCAGTTCATAATAATTTCTCTCCGGAATAATATGTTTGAGATTTCAGATAGACTTATTGGAATTTACAAAACATACAATATTACAAAAAGTGTTGCAGTGAACCCAAAAGAAATTGCATCTAAAGGACTTTGTTGAACTTGTTTATATTGAAGATTCTTCACAGTTAAATTGCCTAGATTTAGTATTTCTAGGTTTCTGTCGGTAACGAATTTTAAGTTGTACATTTTTCTAAGTTGTGTGACAAGTGGTTTCTGTTTCACTACTGATAATGTGTAAAATAAATTGTATCCGTTTCTATATTATAAAAAATGAGTCTGGCTGGTTTTTCGTTTTAACAATTCTTTGATCCCTTGGGAAATTGACAGCATGCCCCCAAGAGTTAACAAAAGTAACCATCTTGCCTCTCCATCTTTCCAACATTTCTCCGAAATTCATACTAGTGGCATCAGGAAGGTGTCAGGAAGTATATTCTTCCAATCAGCCTCACCCACAAAATGTTCATTGCAATGAGTCACTAGTTCAAGGTCTCTGGCACACCATCATCACTGGAATGCCTTTTGGACATCCTGCTATTGTGGGGCGGGGGGGGGGGTAGGACCTGTGATTATTCTGCCATAACAGTCCCTTCTAGCACTCAAGAAGGTCACAGATGTTAGGATGTGTCAACCCAAGGCCAAGGATGTGAGTCTGGGCAGTAGCTGAGTCTTTAGCCACTGGGACTACCTTCTCAGGCTAGCAGCAGAACAAGCTCTGGTAGGCATAAGACATCCAAGCCAGGTACCATGCCTGTGGCAAAGGGTGGGGCCATTTCTCCCATGGGGGACAGGATCAACTGCTGCAGGTTTTTTGTTTTGATTGGCAATGTTTAAGTATAACCCATTTGAATTCTCCTGCCATAATGGGCTTTGCAGGTATTCCACTATCTATCTCTTTTTAGTAAGAGTTCCATGGTGATGGCACACGCCTTTTAATCCCAGCACTCTGGAGACAGAGGCAGGCAAATCTGAGTTCGAGGCTAGGCTGGTCTACAAGAGGTAGTTCCAGGACAGGCTCCAAAGATACAAAGAAACCCTGTCTTTAAAAAACAAAAGTATATTTATTACCCTGCAATCCCAGGGTAATGGTGGCAGGCCAGATTATAACTGTGCCTACATAGGCTAATCCAAACAAAAGAAAATGTTTCCGTGTCTTAACTCTCGTAAAACCACCATGTATTCACTGTATTGCCTAAAGAATGTTATGCTACTAGAAATAAATTTGAATTTAAAGTCAGCTATCACCAGGTGTGGTGATGTGCTTTACACCTTTAATCCCAGCAGTCAGGGGCCTGGTCTACTTACTGAGTTCCTGTCTCCGAATTAGTCAAATGCCTGCTATCATGATTCGTAATAAAGCGCTACAAATATAAAAGTGAGTGAAATTACATTTTAATAACTAGGTGGAGTTGAGAGCTAACTTCCATATAAAAATTCCAAAGCCACTTCCTAAGCCATTCAATAAAATACCAAGTTTATTCAAATACATTGTTACACATAAAACCCAGAATTTCCAAATGTGTTTTTTGTACAATCTCAGTCTCATAGTAAAGATATAAAACAGTATATAATAACTTACCAGAAAACAGAGTTGCACACAAAAAATTGTCAAGCCTTTTAAGGTAATACTCGGTATATGCTTGTTTAGGTTGGAATGTAAGTTTCGGTTAATAACACCAATCTTGGCCTGCTCGTTTTTAAAGCATGATAAACACTGATGAGAATGTTCTCCCACCTACCATGGCACTGCATTACTTTGGTTTGTTGCTCATCTGTACAAAGAAGTTAGTAGCCCCTTGAAAACTAACATTCTTTACTAATATTTACATTTAAAAACAGCACTCAGTGTGACCTATGTGTCTGTTAAAAACTGAACACTACTCCATCACCTCCACTCCATCTTCCAAATGGCCTCAGTATATAACTATGCTGGATAAAATCTGATCTTTTTATCAATGCAATTTTTTTTTCTTTTGCATTCAGCATCCTGCTGGCATGTATGCCTACATGCCAGAAGAGGGCACCAGATCTCATACATGGTCATGGAATCACACCATACGGTTGCTGAGAACTGAACTCAGAACCTCTGGGAGAGCCATCTCTCCAGGCCCTAATGATAGATTTCTAAGCATTATAACCTTGACTTTAACACAGCTTTAGAATGAATCTAGGACCTTTGAAATAAAATCCCCAGAGCTCAGGATTCAAGAATAGCCCATTTGGGTATTTTAATGACAGTGAACTAAAATTATACTGCAAACATCATGCTAGTCCTTGTTAAGGGAACTAAAGGTTGTCTTACTGAGTTCTTTTAAAATTAATCCAATTATGGCAACTCATAATTCCCAGTACTTGGGCTGTAGATGAGACCATTTTAAGATATAGTTTACATGAATTCTATTAAATGAATCATGTCAACATGATTGTCATACATGTTTCATATACTTTTTATGTAGGAACAAGATTAAAACACTACAAAAGCAAAATATATTCTTGTTTTGCTGCTGGAGACAAGGCAAGGGCTCCGCTTTGTTTTTAACGTTTTTGTTTGGTTTGTTTGTCAATACAATATCCAGACAGACCCTGACTTGAGATTCCCTAGCCATTAAACTCAGATTCTAAACACAATGTTTATATAAAATAAGTACTAGACACTTGCTTTATCCAAAAGCTCTATCCGGAATGAATGTTCTTGATTTATGTTTGACCAAAAAGATGTTTAAGCAATCCTAGCCTGAATCTTTTTCCGCCTATATCTATACACTGAAAAGCTTCAAATCACATCAAGATAGATATGTGGGTCAAGGATCTTGTTATTTTTTTCTAATCTAATATCTACATATACAAAGAACTGCAAAGCTACTGTAGCATGTTATAGTAAAAAAGAAAAAGATGCTTGTTAGACAGATTTACAATTTTGACTATCGAGCCAATATAATACTCAAATCAAAAATAATTCTCTAATCTGATTTGAATAATCTTTCAGATAATGTATCATTTCTGGCACCATTTCTATCCAATCATGGAAGGTTTACCATATATATATTCTATCTAAGTTTGCTACTTATGCTACCCAACTTCCATTTAGCAATGGTTAGCCTCTGCTAAACAGGAGAAGCCCACTTAAAACTGTTCATTTGGGTTTTCAACGAGATACTATTTTCAACATGATTTCCTTTAACAAATATAAAGTGTAGCATACCATATTTTTTAAGTCATTTAAGTTATTAGATAAACTTTGGTAAACAGACAAAGAAACCTCAGAGAAACATATTGAAGTGATTTCATTTAGGAAGGTGATTATGTGTTGGCTGAAAAAGAGTATCAACATTAATATCACTGAAATCAGGGAAACTACAGCAATATTTAAAATTTTAAAGAATTCGAGTTCTTTTTCATTCTTGTCAGGCCAGGAACATGGCATCCTTTTTGAAGAAATTCTCATTTCAGGAACAACTGCTTTCTTAATATATCCAATTTCTGTTCTGCTCCACTCTTCCTTTAATACTTTGCTTACTCGAGGATAAATTTCTACAGGCTGGACCTCAGGAAGTGGTCTCCGTTTCAACATCTGCACACGTTGGCGGACATCATCAATTTTTTCTAGGAATTTAAGTGGAGACTCATCTTGTAAAGCTGTAGTCTCTGCCATTAACTCGAGCTGCTGTTCTCTGATCTCCTTCACCCTTTCGATCTGCGGAGTGTATTCCTGATTGATCAGCTTGCCAACGTCGCAGAGAGCTGCCAAAAAAACTTTCTTTTTCTGTTCTAATGTATCACTAAGCTCCTTAAAATACTGAAGAACAAATTCCAAATCACCTTGAACCATTTTTTCAGAATGACACTTCTGTTCCTCAAGCTTTTCAATAAGACGGGTGATGTCTGTCCAGTGTGTGTCGGTTAACTGTTTAAACAACTTCTGAGGTGTATCCTTTTCTTTCAGATAGGCACTTTGAAGGTCATCTATAGGATGACCATGATGTTGGCCTATAGTAAGACAATGGCCACAAACTAATTTTTTATCTAGCAAGCAATAAACATTTAATGGCTGCCTGTAGTGTTCAGGGCAGGTGACAACATCGGGGTGGTCTTCTTGCTGGTACTTTTCAATAATTGCTCTCAATGCAAAATTTACAGGTAAGGATTCTATACCACTTGAAGAAATTTCAATAATACTTCTGCAGTTAGGACACTTGAGTGGAATTCGCAAAGGCCTCCATATATAAAAGTTTCCAGTTGCCTGAAGAACATTTTCTAAACAATTTCTACAAAATGTATGAGAGCATGGTAGAACTCGAGGATCTTCGAAAATACTGTAACAAATGGGACATGTTAACTCGTCCTCAAAATTGTGCATTTCCTGTCAAGAAAAAAAAAAATTAAATATATGTAGCATACATCTGGCATTCTATGTAAGGTTTTAGGCATGACCTTCAAATTAAATGAAGTATTTGCCATTTAAAAGAAAAGCATTTTTAGATGACTTTGCAGTTCAACTCCTAATACATACTGAATAAGAAGACCATCTAAAAGTATTCCACTGCTGGGCAGAGGTGGTGCACACCTTTAGTCCCAGCACTTGGGAGGCAGAGGCAGCAAATCTCTGTGAGTTCGAGACCAGCCTGGTTTACAGAGCTAGTTTCAGGAGAGCCAGAGCTGTTACACAGAGAAACCCTGCCCCCCACACAAAGAAAAGAAAAAAAAGGGAAAAAAAATCCTTGAAATTAGTGAAACTGATTTTATATACCAAAGACTAATATTCAGTTAAAGTCAACTTAATAATTACAACTACTATATGCAAGTCTTTACATTATAAGATACTAAAGTAAAATGGCACTTTGTGATGTATAAAAAATTATTCAATTTAAAGGGGGAAAAAATGTGATTTTTTTTTCTGAGATAAATGCTAGGGCTGCAGGCACAAGGCATCACAACTGGTCCAGTAATTCTTCTAAACTCTTATCTTTTCTAGAAATTACTATTAAGATCAGCATACAGCAATTCCTATTTTTCTCTCTCTTTTCCTTTTGTCCTTTTGTAGTGCTAATAATCAAACTCAGGGCCTTGTACATGCTAGGCAGATACTCAACCATGAGTAGTTACACAGCCCCAGATTCAGACCTATACTGCGGTTTTCTAAAGCAGTAATTTTAACCTGAAAATTTAAAAGGGAAAAGTTCATTGACAATAAAAATAGATTTGAAAGATGAGAGTTAACAATGGTGACAAGTAATGACTGAAAAAATGAGAATCTAAAATAAATGGTAAAAGAAAATAAAGGATACCATTCATCTCTTTCCTTCGTTTAAAATGTTTGAGAGGCTGAAGAGATGGCTTAGTGATTATGACTGTAAACTTGCTCTTCCAGAGGATCAGAACTCAGCTCCCAGCACAGAAAGAGGCTCACAACCACACACAAAACCAGCTCCAGGGCTGAAGAGATGGCTCAGCAGTTAAGAGCATAGCCTGCTCTTCCAAAAGTCCTAAGTTCAATTCCCAGCAACCACATGGTGGCTCACAACCATCTGTAATGAGGTCTGGTGCCCTCTCCTGGCCTGCAGGCATACATGTAGACAGAATATTGTATACATAATAAATAAATAAATATTTTTTAAAAAAAAGCTCCAGAGTATCCACTTTCCTAGTACCTCTACATGCCTGCCCCACAACATATACACATACACGCACACACATAACTAAAAATGACTTTTTAAAAATGTATCTCAAGAATAGAAAGAGGAATCCAGCAATAGTTCAGAAACTCATTTGACAGAGGGTGGACATCCATAAGCTGTTAATATTTCCAACAGAAGCTAGAAGATCTGTAGCCTGGTTTTATAGTTTCCCTTTTGTTCCCAGCAGCAATAAACCTCAAAACTGCCTAGCCTCCAGCAGGGAAAAATCAATTAAAGAACCTTCAACAAATCCTAGAAGTTCTTTTGTTTTTTTGAGATAGAGTTTTTCTATGTAGACTTGGCTGTCCTGGAACTTACTGTGTAGACAAGGTTGGACCAGGCTGGTCTCGAACTCACAGAGATCCACTTGCCTCTGCCTTCCGAGTCCTAGGTGTTCTTTACAAAGACTATAAAAGCTGGCAAAACCTATATAAAACTAGTTCCAGATTAGAAGTTTATAAGAACAGGGCTAGGCTTAATAGTGTGTATGTGTAGCATGCACAGAGATCTGGCATTTTGTCATCAGCAAAGAAAGTTTGCAGCCACAACATTTGAAAGAACCTTTCATCTGGTTAGCCATCAGTGAAGATTGCTAATATCCTAGAGTAAGTGTCTTTTTAATTTAACTACGGAGGCATTTTTACCTTGAGCACTTTACGAGATTTTATAAGAATTTCTGTAACATATTATATATTAGAATGTAAGCCTCCCATTAGGTCAGAAATAGTATCTAAATAGCAGTCTTTAAAGCAATCTGGGCTTTTTAATAATAAACTCTGTTAGAAGCAATGAAGAGCCCATCAGAAAATATATAATGTATTGTCTGACTGACAATATTCAGGATCCATAATTAGCCAAGTTGTGGCATGTAGAGACTAAGTCTTGACCTGCACAGGATTCCAGGAAACTAATGATTGGGCAACAGTACAGAGACAACAGCCACTGTAAAGAAATGCAAGTAAATGCACGCCTAGAAGCCTTTACAACTTCACCCCACACCCAGTAAGTCACACAAACATACCAAGAATAACAAACATGTTTCTCAAAGTACCAATGATGTCAAAATACACAAGGAAGGAATACAGAATAGTTCTTTGAAAGGAATAAAATTTAAGCAATGGACATACATTTGATCCAGATTTAGTATCATTGCTATTTGGTGTGCAGGTAGCAAAACTGGAAGACATTAGATTTTAGGACTAGTTTGCTTACACATTAAATAGCCTCTAGTATTATTAAATCTTCAAAGTTCTATTTTATATCTCTCACAGAAATCTAGGGAGGGGTTGGAACATGACTCAGTGGGTAAACCATTTACCAATGTAAGTTTGAGGACCTGAGTTTGGATCCCCAGAAGCCATGCAAAGCTAACATATTAATAAACCAAGCACTCAGACACCAAGATGGAGGTAGAAGTGAAAAAAAAAGACCAACTCTACAAGAATTAGAAGCAGTGGCGTACATAGTTGTACAAACATAAAACACTCAAAGATCTCTGAGAATCCATTTGATGACCCAATAGCTCAACCTTTATTGTTAAGAAGTTTCCAAGCAAAGTATCAGTGGTTTAACACTGAACTCTACAAGAAAATGAAGCAATACCAAATACTGATTTACCAGACTGACATTACATTGGGCGGGGAGGGGCGGGGGACACACACTAAAATTTCCCTTAGTAAAGTCAAAGCTGGGTGTAGTGGTGCCCACCTGTAATCCTAGCACCCAGGAGGCAGAGGCAGGAGATCTGAGTTCAAAGCCAGCCTGGTGGACAGAGTGAATTCCAGGGCAGCCAGGGCTACAGAAAAACCCTGCCTCAAAAAAAAAAGAAAAGAACAGAAAAAGAAGCCAATACTCAATAAAAATGTTAACTGTTTATTATCTTGAATGTGAGTCAGATGTGAGTATGCGCATATATATGTGCATCTCAGTAAGCATGGGATCAGAGGACAACTTTCAGAAATCAGTTGTTGACTTCCTCCATGGATTCCAATAATTAAATTCTGGTAATGAGGTTTATATGACAAGCACTCAGTCACTGAGTCATTTTGAGCCCAAAAATATGGGGGAAGAAACTTACATACATTAAAAACATATTATTTAGAAGTACAGACGTGAAGGTGAGCAGAGAGTCAGTTGCATGCCTTTTATCCCAAGTACTTGGGGAGCAGAAGCAGTTGGACTCTCTGCGAGTACAAGGCAAGCCTGGACTCACAGTGAGTCCCAAAACAGGCAGAGACACATAGTAAGAACCTATCTCAAAAAAAAAAAAAGAAAGAAAGAAAGAAAGAAAGAAAAGTGAAAACTAAAAAACAACGTTAGGAGATGAATATGATACGTTTTAAAGAACAAGAACAGGGAGTAGAAAAAAGTATCTGCCAACTTTTAATGCTAAATTATCTCATTTAATCAGCATACAGCTAAAAATGTAACAAACTATTAAAAGAAGACAGATAATCCTACAAGAGGCCAGGCAGAAATGTATCATGCAAACCAAGAAAACATCAACAATGGAATACAGCAGAAGGATTAAAAGCTTAAAGCCAGCTTTTCAACGCGGTGACCGAGAGGAAGACGCCAGCATGCAGATCTTTGTGAAGACCCTGACGGGCAAGACCATTACTCTTGAGGTTGAGCCCAGTGACACCATAGAGAATGTCAAGGCCAAGATCCAAGACAAGGAAGGCATCCCACCTGACCAGCAGAGGCTGATATTTGCTGCAAGCAGCTGGAGGATGCCGGACCCTGTCTGACCACAACATCCAGAAAGAGTCCACTTTGCACCTGGTGCTTCGTGTGCATGGTGGCATCATCGAGCAGTCCCTTCGTCAGCTTGCCCAGAAGTACAACTGTGACAAGATGATCTGCCGCAAGAAGTGCAGCCACACCAACAACCTGCGCCCCAAAAAGAAGGTCAAATAAAGCTGGGTTCCTTAACTGGCCCATGACCCTGGGACCAAATAAAGTCCCCTTCCATCGAAAAAAAAAAAAAGTTTGAGGCCAGCCTGAGTTATATAAATGGGACCCCAAAGAACACAGTAATTTCTAAAAAATAAATAAAATGACGAAACTTGTAAGACCACAGTTACCCTTTATACATGCTGTTCTGTAATATAACCTAGCTGCTACTCCTTTTATCAAGAGATGAAATCTATGTGCCACCACCACCCCCAGAAAATCTGTAGAGGACAAATGACTGCTTTGAGCAACGCTCGGACTTCCAGAGCATTGTGTATCAATTCCTTTTCTGTTGTAAAACACTATGACCAAGGCAGCTTACAGAAGACAGTTTACCCTGGCTTACGGCTCCAGAGGGTTAGAGTCCACGACAGTGGAGCAGCACAGCAGCGGGCGGCTGGAGTAGGAAACCAAGGGGTCTTTAACAGCTGTAACAGCAGCAGGCATGGGACAGAGCAAAGTGAAAAGTGAGGCAAGGCAAAGCTCTCAACTCTCAAAGCCAGCACCACTAACACCTTCTCCAGCAAGGCTGTATAATCTCTACAAGAGCGTCACCAACTGGGGACCAAGTGGCATGTTAAATGCCTAATCCCACTCAAACCCCACTTACCAACTAGCAGCTATGCAACAAGTCTAGGCTACCTGGACTTTCAAAAACAGCACTAAGATGCCAAACATATTAGTAAAAAGGCCGTCTTGGAAATAGCTGGCCAAGTTTTCAAATGTTATACAAAACCAGATAGCCAGAATACACACCAAGCAACAAGGAATGCTACTGTTAAGACAATATTACAAAACGTGCATAAGTTCAAGAAAGAAAAAGGTTTTATCCCACAATCTGGTACCTGTGTGACTTATTCACATCTAACTATAAAAACATTAGCAAAATCTCTAGTTAAAAAAAAAAGCAGGTAGCCGGGCAGTGGTGGCACACACCTTTAATCCCAGCACTCAGAAGGCAGAGGCAGGCAGATCTCTGTGAGTTCGAGGCCAGCTGGTCCACAGGAGCTAGAACAGGCTCCAAGGCCACAGAAAAACCCTGTCTCGAAAACACCAAAAACAAACAAAAGAAACAAAAACAACAACAAAAAAGCAGGTATCGCCAAGTATAAAGAGAGAATAACAGACCCACTAAAAAGAAGCTATAGCTAAGCACAGTAGAACACACCTTGTCCACCCCAATTGCCCCAGAGGCCAAGACAGAAACAACATTTCCTAGGCCAGCCTAGGGGAATAGAGCCAGAACTCATTCAAAAGAAAATCAGGAAAAGCAGAATAAATTAAGTGGAGAAATTTTTAAGAAAAACTTACTAGAGTTTAAAAAAAAACAACAAGTTACAGGTTGGCGGTGGTGGCGCACACCTTTGATCCCAGCACTCAGGAGGCAGAAGCAGGCGGGTCTCTGTGAGTTCAAGGTCAGCCTAGTCTACGAGAGCTAGTTCCAGTACAGACTCCAAAAGCTACAGAGAAACTCTGTCTCAAAGACCAACCAAAACAAAGCAAACAAAAAAACCCAAAAAACCAAGTTACTGTGTCGGTAATCTCTATAGGATGACCACCAATCTCTAGTCCCTCGGGTACCCCAATTCCCCTCCTCTTGAATGTGAATTAGACATCGTGACTCCTGCCATACAAAATGCAGAAGTAATAACCTGTTTGAAGGATTCTTCTCCTCTGCCCTCAGAGTTCCCAAGACCTGATGCTATAAACATTCCAAGGTCATTTGGTACTGTTAGGAGCCAGTACATTTAAACCAAATGTTTAACAAGGAATAGAAACCAGTAAACAAATATGTGAAGACGCTTCAGACCCCAAAATCCACAACCGCTGCGGGAGCAATAGCAAGACACCTAACCTCAAGACACCTAACGAAGTCACTCTGCATTCCTGAATTGGGGACAAATCGTGATGAGGCAATGCATTAACACAGGATCCTAACTAAGAGAGAAACAACACTGCTTGCACTGAGAAGAGGAAAGATACATAGAAAAAGAACAGAAGCAGGAAGAGCCTACACTAGAGTTCTTGCATCGCCCTGCAGTAATACATCTCACAATCTACACAAAGTCAGTGTTCAAATCACAGAACAAATCCAAATGACTACCACTGACCCAGGACAATAAAGCAAACTACGTGTGAAATTTTACAAGTTAGAATGGGGAGGGAGGGTCAAGGGTAAGTTCTTTCAAATGATCATGAAACAATTTCTCATTCATCTGTCCCAGAATACAAGTATGCAAATTTCAAGACAATGTAGTACGATCCCAAAAACCTGCAAAGATAATACAAACTAAAAAGAAACTAATTTCCAAAAATGAATACTTTATAAACTCCTGAGCGCTGAGCTGTACTACAACACAGCGAAACATTATACTTTACAATCTCTGAAGAAATCTATTTAGCACACCCCAGAGCTCAGTGACTTACTTGCCACAGGGCTTCTGGTGAGTCAGCCAGAAGTCTGGGAAAAAAGTCCAGTGGTGCTACAGCTAAGACTAAGTTAGGGCTTTGTGGCCCTAACTGATAAAAGCCTCTTCGTGAAATTACAGACTTAATTCAGAGCTGCTTCTATTAACCAGTACACGCCTTTAACCCTAACACCTGGGGCGTAGAAGTGGGCAGGACTCTGTGAGTTTGGGGTCAGCCTGGTCTAATTCTAGGACAGCCAAGGCTACACAAAGAACCCTGTCCTGAAAAACAGAAACAAAAAAAAAAAAAAACTTCAAAGTGAAAATATATTTGATGGAAAACACACTTGCTGAAAGACGATGTCCACATAGATCCCCAAAGTCAAACTTTCACTTCACCAAGCTAAATTCAGGACCTTGGGTCACAAGAAATGGATGTAGATGGATGTTAATGCTGGGCAGGAATGAACCTGCAAACGTATAAAATATAAAGTGCACACACCATTTGTATGCATGCCTTCAGATGTCCAGGCAGTCTTGTAAAACTTTACATAAAAGTGAAAATTTTGCAGGGCAGTGGTGACGGCACTTGTCTTTAATCCCAGCAGAGGCGGGAGAATTTCTGTGAGTTCAAGGACACCCTCATCTACAAAGCAAGTTCCAGGACTGCGCTCTAACCGCTAGAATCCAGTTTGCGAGCTTCCGGCAAGGGGCTGGAGGTTGAGGAAACACACGCAGAGACAGACAGACACACGGACCTCCAATCAGTGGTACAAAGGCCCTTCTTTAATGGCACCATGGAGGCTTAAATACCCTGCAGACAATGGCCAACAGGTGAAAATCCCATCCTCTGATCCTCCAGGCAAAGCACAGCTTTTAGTAACTTCAATTAGAAGGCTCTAGCAGGGAAGAGCAGCTGAAGGCCAGGAACCCAATTGGTTCTAACACAGGACAGCTAGGGCTGTTACAGAGAAACCCAGTCTCAAATCCACCCTGCCCACACATACACAAAAGAAGAAAATCTTTTAGTAAGGCACTGGTGGCACCTTTAATCCCAGCACTCCACAAGGCAGAAGCAGGTGGAGCTGTAAATTTGAGGCTAGCCTGGTCTACAGTAAAAGTTCTGGGACAGCCAGGGCTACACAAGAAGCCCTGCCTTGAAAAAAAAACCAAGGGGCTGGAGAGATGACACAGAGGTTAAGAGCACTGACTGCTCTTCCAGAGGTCCTGAGTTCAATTCCCAGCAACAACATGGTGGCTCAAAAACCATCTGTAATAAGATCTGGTGCCCTCTTCTGACCTGCAGGGAGACATGCAGGTAGAACATTGCATATATAATAAATGAGAAAAAAAAAAAAGGTGAAAGTCTTTGAAGTCAAATGACAGTTGTTTCTCACATCACACCTCCTCCATAGGATCGTTAGAATTTTATAGACAACCAATATACATCTTTTTTCAGGATATTTTAAATTTTACATCACAGTCCAGACCACACACTGTAAAAATGTACTGACTTTTCATCATATACACCTAACTTACCGGAGCTTACCTGGTTTGTTGATCTCCTGATCTGGATACTGAATATACTTTATCTTCTCCAACTTTTCCAGGTTCTTTTGTTATTCTAAAATTAAAACAATTGAACGTTTCAGATTTTGTAAGGAAAAAAAAAGAGAAAAATTGCATAGGGAAGGTTGTTCACGAACTGTGCGGCTTATCTACACTATAGTCCGATGGTTGGTTGGCTATTTTTGTATTTTTGTTTTGTAGTGACACCAACAGCCTGCAGGGAACACAACTTTCATCTGGAAAACCTCAACAATTTTGCCACACAAAAGGACTTTTTTCAACATAAGGCATCTGTGAGTCTGGACCGTTTTAACCAAAAGAATGACGAGAACTAAACACGGTTCGGCTTGATGGCTTTGCAGAGACCAGGTTTGCCCTCGCCGAGGACCTGGACTCGCTAGTTTACCAGGATGGCCTTGAACTCACAAGGATCCTGGCTCTGCCCCCGCGCTGGGATTACCGGGGTCCACTATCGTGCCCAGCTACAAAGTCTGGGCTGTTGAAACTCAGCAGAACCGCGAAAAACACCCGCGCGCATCCCCAGTTCGCAACTAAGAACCTAGGTTATCCCCACCAACGCGCTTCCCCCGCGTCCCACTCCGGTCTCTGCAATGCCGTGGGTCTCAGTTTCACCTACGAAGGTGCCCATCTGTAAAATGGGCAGAAGCTCTACGCGAACCCCAAACAAAGAAGTAGCTCAAGATGGCAGTCGTCCCCGCCCCTCCTCCGGGATGTGCCGCCTTCAACCGTCCCGCCTGGTCCTGCGGGGTCCCCTCGGCTCACCCACCGGCCGCCACCGACCGCCAAGAGCCCGCCTGCAGCTCCGCGCCGCCGCTCCCCACGGCGCGCGTGGGGCGAGAGCAACGACC